TTCCCAAACCTTATATAAACATTGTATTTGTCTGCAGTAGGCACCAGTTGAGATGCAGCGAAATCATCCAGGACATAAATCGTGCAATGTTGCTATACTGGCTTCTTTTTTCAAATTTGTCACGGGAAAAGCTTGTTTCAACACACCAAAACATTAACTCTCCTACATGATGGAAATAGTCAGACATACGACTGTTACAATTTGGATCATTTTCAACGAATAAATTCGAGCGTGAAGTGCACAAGTGACTTTCGACAGAAGCCTAGTCATTGGCGTGAGATTTTTATTGTCGGAAAACAGTTAAAACAACACGAGCTCAGTTATAAAGAAGTCCGCGAAGTGCTTCAATGGGGTCATCAGTGCTCGTACTAACGGTGCATTGCATTGAAAAACCTGTCGCAGAACTGTTCACAAACACACCTGGCTTATACACAGGTGTGGGTAAACACTTAAACGCATTCATTGCGTTTAAACTAAACTGCGGCTCGTTTCGCTTTGTGATCCTTGCTAAATTGCTCAACGTGCTTTGTAGGGATTTCTTTCCAACCGTCCGTAGTCAGCCTTTTATAAAGCTCCTTTTCTGATAGAACAGAAGTACAGTCTGGTCGTTTGGAGGTAGAGTTTTGTGATTTCAAAGACGAATTTGGCATCAAGGTTTAAAATGGGGCAGGCATGCTGAAAAATCGTTAGTGAAGGCTATAATCGATGCGTTAAGGTTGGATTACCAGGAGAAACCCAGTAAATCGGTTTTTGTTTTGAAAATGTATAAATCCATGGAACTTTATATCCATTGTGATTTACTTCCGTGGACTTTTTCATTTATTATTTTGCATTCAAGTGTATTGTCGATGTGCGATAGATTTTCCAACGCTATCCGATACACAAAGATGGTTGTCTGCAGGTCGATGTTATCATCTGTTCGGAACAGAGAGTTCTGAAATCGTTTGACGTTGTTCTATGCGTTCCCAATGCAAACGTTTCTCGTTCTGTGAGTGTACCACAATTCCCAGGAACAGTGTTCTCTCTTACTATGTCTTGGGTTGGCACACCCAACGTTGCATGCCGCAACAACCATCTTCCGTGTTTGAACAGTGAAAAGATCCTTGTGGTCGTGCAGTTCAGAAAGTAGAGCAAGCGCAGGAAAAACGGGTAGGTGGGACATGCATGCGTTGGTTCGAATCCCATTGAGGCTTCTGAGCTATCCGCAATTCAGACATGAACCTCAAGTCTGTCACACAACTTTATTTGGTTACTCATTCTGTTGTTTATTGGTTTTTATTGGTAACAGCAACTTTGTGTATCGTGTGCTTTGACCTAATCGACTAAACTAATTCTCCTATTGATTGTCCCAGCGATCATTTCCGCTTCTATAAAGTACGATCTCAACTAGTTGTCTCTCTCACCGCACCGCCCCCGTACTGTGAAAAAGAAAACCAGTGCCTTATTCATTTGGTTCAGTTAGAATTTGATTCCGGTACACTTCAAGTACGTTAACGGGTAAACATTCGTTCTCAAAAAGAAATTATCTGTGAAATAGCGTCCCATTTGCTGCACCCGTCAAGCGCGGTAAACTTTATAATCTCCCCTGAGGAGGGGCACATACACTTAAAAATTATGATAAACTTTACATTCTAGAACGGAAGTGAGTGGTTTGGAATCTAAATGTTCTTGATGCCTTGAGACAGCTCACCGGTGGACTAATCTTAGTATTTAGAACGGATATTCCAGTTAATCACGTTCCAGAGTAGCTTGGTAACAAGTGGGAAGTAATCTACATAGTATCAAAACAGACTAGTGGACCAAGTGTTACTAAATAACACTTAAAAACTTCCAACTGTACGTGTAAAACGTAGTTTCGAGTACAATATAGTCAATACATTGATAAATGTTAAGTTCAAAACGTTGAATATCTCCAAGCCTTTCGTGACAAACATGACTCGAAAATTGGAACATTACAAGAGGAGAGCATCTGGAAATGTTTTCTGACACTCGCTTCTCCTAGGAGTGCGTTTCATGAATTTCCCGGAAAACCACATCCGAGTGATCAATTCGAAAGTTCCAGCTTTGCAACTTGCAGCTAATTAAGTACCAGTCAAGAAGGGAGAGCTCACAAGAATAACGATCTATTAGCGATCGGAAATAAAACTTTCTTTTTACTTAGTTCAAAAATATTCGAATAATGCGAAATTCGAATCCTGTTCATGAAATACCAACCCAGCAAAAGACGTATTCCATTGTTTTCACCGTTGAGGCAGTTAGAATTTCGAACAAATTCGGACGATCGATATACAGTCAGTAAATGACTGCTCAGTTTTCTTCCCAATTTTCATCTATCCCCCTAGTGAATCAAACGTTTTCCCGCTCAGACTATTTTGTGATGCAGTGAAATGTGATTGGTTATCCACAGACACATGTGTGGCCTGGATAACCCCGGTTTAAGCAGAGCTGAATACTACCAGACGCGTCCACGAGTTGTTTTGGGGGTATACCTTCGCCGAAGAGGGTTAGTTGTGAATAAGTTGTGGCATACTGCAACAAATAAGCAGTCGCAAACAAGCAGTGGCGGCACTATCAATGTGTGGTGGGTTTCAGGCTGGTCACCTAGCTCCTGTTTAACAGCCGCATAAACACAATAACAGTGTCGTGACAAAGGTCGATGTGGCTGGCCTTTTAGAACTGAAGTCACTGACCCCCTCACTTCCGAGGTGAGGGATTGCTTGCCGCTTCCTTGCAGTTCGCGCATGGTTGTGCAAAGGTTAGAGGTGCATTCTCAAAATAAAAAACGCCGAATGACGCTGTGGACATCATTGTAGAGAGAGAAGATTTTGCCCCCTTAGTTGATAGTTTACCTCTTCCCGTCCGAATCTCTACGTATTCCACCTTGTCGCGTGATAATGGTCCAGTTAGTCTAGCCATGGGTCCGCTCTGTAACTAGGAGTCCACCGCAAGACAACCGGGAGTGGGCAACACACACTGTTTCGCCCACAACCGGGGCTTGAGCAAAACTCCGGTTTGCAGGACACGAAACATATGCAACTGGTAATAGCAGTATATAAGGTACAAAGCGAACGCTTCTGACAAATGAATATTCCGATAACCTCCTGAATCCCCAGAACAAATGAAAAGACTAGATCCTAATTTGGTTTCAACTTCATTTTCCACGTTCTACAACACAAATGCAAGTCTGTCCGAATTAAAGCCATGATAACCGTGGAGACAATTATTATCCGTTTCTTGAGGCCGGAATTACGTGTTTGAAAATACACTTGCTCAGGCACTCAGACATCCCTGATCCAAAGTGGACAACATCAAACATGAGCGTTGTGATGATCAAAACAATTAACAAAGCTTACGCAAACGATCCTTATCAGAACAAGATAACTTGAAACAAATCTTCTACCTCACCCCTTTGTCATAATCATTTGATCCAAACACAACACCCTCCTGTAATTTCTCCTGCATAAACCTGATAGATGGCAATGGCTTGAGAACGAGCACACTGAAAACATCTGTTCGCTTACGATCCTTGTTCGGATTACGACGATGGGCTTATTTTATGATTTCAAGAGAAAAGCCCGAGACGATAACTTCAGCCGAGGAAGACCAAGTTGTAATAATTTGTCATATGAAGATGATCACGTGTTCAATCGATGGTAGCCCGGATCAATCCGAGAAACTGGATTGGTTAACTCAATCCGGCAACAGGTCAATCCGGTGACCTGACCTCATCTTTTACAATATTCCTACGTAATGAAATTCCGTCAGAATCTTGCTCACCACAGATCAAAAAACACCACTCTGCGTCTAAAAGCTACTGTCCCATAATGTTTTCTTGCCTCGGCACAATACCCTAAGTCAACACTGGGGACGATTTTCCACATTGGTTCTTTCGCCGTCCCCCGTGATCCAAACAGATCACCGGCTTTATGTAGGGATCGATAGAAGATGAACACAATGCTTGCATCTTGCACTTCCCATCTTTCTTTCGTTCTGATCAGTTTAATAAGGACCGAAAACCTGTGATTTAGTGTAAAATTATTCCGAGGTCTTCAGTCCACATTTCATTTAATGTGGAGAACGAAAAAGTTTGTGTATATCTAAAACTAATATTGAAATACGGAATTTGTGCGGGGAAGAATAGAAACAAATAACACGGCAAAGTGAACACACTCAGGAAACCAAGAACATCCGTCACGGGTTATCATCTAGAACAGACCAGGCCAATTGAGAGGCATCTATCTGAGCGATCCACACATCCTTCACTGTTGGTTAGAGACGCTCAGAGTGGCATGACTGAGTATCGCAAACAGTGCATCTATTCTCGCAACCCCAGTCTATGTGAATTCTCTACCTTCCTCTGGAATTTGTATTCTGCTCGTTTATCCATATGGGCGGCCCAAAGGCAGCAACCATAATCATCACACGAATTAATGGTTAATGGTTATAAAAGGAGAAACTGAAAAAAAACACCATCCAACGAATCAGAGCACTGAACTGCAGAGAACAACGCAATTAAAACATTGAAAATCCCTGTTGTATTGACAGCAGGAGAACGACATCAGTCTGAGATTGTTGAAGTAGCCGCATATGCAGAACACTTGGGATAAATACAGTGAACCGCTTTTTGCGGACCGTACCAGCTGAGATTCATTGGGATGATTGCGGGCGCGTTTAACGGCATGTTGTCCTGGTTATGCAATTTATTAAATTTGCACCAAACATTTTCGGGTTAAATGAAACGAAAAACCGTCAAGATGGCTCTAGTCTAGCCATATGACACTCAGTATCCTCCCCGCCAAGCAAATTGTCTAATTGTGTAACACGATAGCTGACTATATGGGTAAATATTCATTATCATAAAATGACTCCTAGATGCCATTTACGAAGATAGATAATTCGCTCGGAAAATTAACTGAAAACTTATTTGCTTACAATGTGATTAATCATTACAACTTAGGCAGTATAATATTAAATCAAATCAGAATAGCTTGTGAACTCACTTCAGGATCTGGTGTCCATCGTCCGTCCACGAGGACCCTTTCGATTTGAACTTCTTCCACCTTTCGTTGCTGATAATTGTAGACCAATTGTATGAACGAGAAGTCACGGAAATCTGTCCCACTTTTAATGACAGCTCGTCGATGTGGACCCGACCCATCCGGGTTATCAAACCATTCGATCTCATAGTTATGATCATGACCACCTAGAACCAAATCGATTTCCGGGACGGTTTGTGCCACGAGACGATCGTTTGGCCAACGCATATGAGTCAATGCAATGACCAAATCACATGCTTTCTCGCCGTCTGCCGAGGGTTGCTTCAGTTTTTTTGCCATATTTCGCCCAACTTCACAAATATCAGCCACGTACAGATCGTCGGGATCAACACAAGACAGGGTGGCGACCCATTCCTTTTCTAACAGACCAATCAATCCAATCCGCAAACCAGCATGTTCGACAATTTTATAGGACGGGGTGTTAGCAAGCAGCTCGTGTGTATTTCGATCGTAAATATTGCTATTCAACCATGTAAAATTACATTGTTCTATACACTCACACAGTATGTCCAAACCAAAATCCAAATCATGATTCCCTAAAACTGCGCAGTTTATACTCATTTGGTTCAAAATACGAGGCATATGCCGTCCCTGAGTGACAGTACTGATCATAGATGGACTAAGCGCATCGCCTGAAAATAGAACCAAGCTTCTATCCCCTGCACCGTAGTGCTTCAACGCGGTGAGAAACCGTGCGGCACCGGCAAACGGTTCCGATTTTTGACCCTCCACATTGTACACATCGTTAAAGTGTATGATGTTCAATGTTATTCGATTATCCTTTTCCATGTTGCCGTTGTGCGTCATTTTTCCCCGTGAGAGTTGACACCGGTATGCAGGCAACACCGAGTGATTCCCGGGTAAGTAGCAGGCTTTAGATGGTCCCACAACCAACTAAATGACATCGACTGTGAAGCTCGAGATTCCATTGGTTAGCACCCGTTAAGTTTGTACACTGGTTGGTTCTTATCCTATTTCAACTGTCCTCCTTCGTCCATCTGATTGGTTGGTCTGATGTGTGGTACTGTTAATCGACTGTTGACCTGTCACACCCGTATGTCATTCCTGCCGGGGGCACGTGATCACAGGAAACACACACGGACCTGCTTACCAGGTCTGGCTGGCATTCCAATCCGTTGCTGTCACAGGCACACATATACACACACACGCGCCCCGCCTGATTTCAATTACGATTCGTTATCTTTTCATTGTTCTCTGTCAATATGGGGCATTTCGACCCAGTGTTTTTAAGACTTGAACTGTTCACCTTTCCCGCGATAACCAAAGTCATTTCAAAACTACCAAATTCAATTACGCATTGATGTAAGCGATTCGTCTATCTCAATCGAGAATAACACTGCTCTATTGGTGTTTGTTACCAATATGCGAAATGAATGAATGATTGATTGTTTAAGTTTCGTTACCTGATGGGTGATTTATTTGTTACATAGTTAGTCTGCCTTATGTTAGATACCTAACGGTATACCGTGAGAACACACTCCTATAAAGTCCCTAACAACTTTGATTGAAGTGAAGCCACTGATTTC